GATCATTAAAAAAATTAATAAAATAAAATTTAATTTAAAAAATGTGGGATGCCTCACACCTTTCCTTTCACGGCCAACTTTGGTATGTCCAACCCAAAGACTCTCTGGATAGAGAAAAAAACAGGTTTGTCTCAGAGGGTGAAAAAAACTGCTCCGTTTGGGACAAGGATTTTCAAGTTCCACCTGATATACTTTGTGTATGTGGCCAGAAAGGCCCAGTCTGTGAAGGTCATCATGCTTGGAAGAGTGGACAGACAGCACAGGATAGAAAGGTCTTGGGATTAAATGGATTGACACAGTAATTAGGGTACTGGGGTTAGGTGTGTCATAATAGACAATGAGGTTGGCTCAGGATAGGCAAGGTTCAAAGCTGCTATACATAGGGTCGCTATGAGTCACAGGTGACTCAACAGCACATCATAACAAGAAGTTATTTAGTAACAAAATGGCAGAAATGGGTCTCTTTAACAAACTGAGATGTATTTTCTCACAGTTTAGGAGGCTGCTCTTGTGTACCATTAAGTTGGAACTGATCCACAGCTGACCCTACAGTGAGTTTTCAGAGGCAATTAAATGCACAGGAGGAGACTGCCTATCCTTCTCTTATGGAGCAGCTGGTGGAGTCAAACTAAGTTCCTTCAAGATTGCAGCACACTTTCTCACAACTAGGCCATCAGAACTCCCTTTTAAGATGCTCGAAGACAAATCAGGGCACAAGTCCTATGGGGAAATTCTTTATTCTTTCAAGTACGAAGAAAGGCCTTCATTCCTTCTCTGTTCCATGGAGATCTCCATGTGATCTGACATTCATGTTCCCACATCTCTTCTTCTTTTACTTGTTTGATCTCTTTAGTAATTTAGGAGCCTGATTAAAAATATATCCTACTCTATCCTGCTGAAAGGCACCCAAGCGTCAAGGACTCTCCTTCATAAGGTCGCTATGAGTCGCCTGCGACTCGACGGCACTTAACAACAATAACATCAACAGAGAGAGAGAGAGATCAGCTGGCCCAACGAAGAGAAAACGATGTGACCAAGACAAAGGTGGGTGACTTTTAGTTCACAGCCCTCAGGCCAGTCTTTCATTGTTTTTGTTCATTCCTCTAGGTCGTATAGCCCTGGTGTACAAGTTGCCATCCCGCAGTCACTTGTGGTTGCTGTGAGGCTGAACACTGTGACACGGATGTGTCAAATGCGTTAATGGTTGGCTACCCAATGCGGACTGAGAGTGGGGTGGAGCTCCCCGATTGAACAAGTGTGGAAGGAGGAGTGGCATCC